AAAAACCCCCCCCCCCCCCCCAAACACACAACCACACACAACTGCCCTACCAGTTCTCTTCATTAAGACTTTCAGAGTTCATGAAGATTTCAGACCTTTTCAAAACGTAAGGGCTAATTCTACTGCTGATACAGGCAAAAATTTATCTGACTTCAAAGCTGCCCATATCCTGTAGGAGGATAGCTGGGACCAGAGGATTTTGGCGCATATTCTAGACCTCATTATTACCTTGGTTGTCCCCCAGTTAGCTTAAGATTGCTCCTTAAAGAACTAAGTTGGTATCTTTTAATTGAATTAAAATAGCAGTTAGTGGCTTGCTTGAATATCTTTGCCAAAGCAGCTAGGCTATACTTCCTGGCCAAGTGAAGTCTGGCCAAATTAAGTGCCAGTTTGTTTCCCCTTGGGGGGAGAAGGGGGAAGCATATATCCTACCCCCAAGGTGCCTTCTGTACTGTAGTTCTCCTGTGCACCCTGCCCAACTTTCTTTCCATTTAAGTAGGAGACAAACAGCTGAAGCAACCTACTTGAATCTGTTTGCTGTATTAAGTGTAAACATCTGCATTTATCAGAAGAACAAACTATTGCAACAGAACAGCCATTTTCTGAACATAGCTACACACTGCTGAGAGTTCACACAAGTTCTTCATGAAAACTGTTCTGCTGCAGACCTTGGGGGACAAACGGGAGGATGGGAAAGCTGTCTTGATTATGAAAGTTTGGAAACAACAGGAATTTCTTATCCTTTCTACAAGGAAGGCTAGACTTCTCAGTCAAAATGTATCATACCTTGTGTTGGGGCCCAGCAGATTATTACTGGGTTTGTCATAAGGTGAAGCAGATGGGTTGGAGTCCAGCCAGAACTTTATCACTTACCTGCAGCACTTCCTCAAACCCCTGACTCTGCTCCCAACTTCAGCTTCTGTTAGGATTTGTGTGTCCCAGGAGTGCCGCATGGATTGACAATTGATGCAGCTGAGAGACTCAGTGAACCACAGCTGGGTTAGCATGGTTCTTTGTGACGTCTCTAGGGACTAAGAAACAGTGACCAGCACTAGGGGTCACCTACAAATAATGTATCTGCCAGTACATCTAGGATGAGAAGAATGGGGGAAGCAGGAACAGTACTTGCTAGTAGAATATACTAACCTTTTCTGTCCACTTCACTTGAGCAGCAGTCAGGATGAAACCACTCAAATAACTCCTCTCTAGACAAGGGTAAGAAAAGCTCCTTTTTCTGGAAAGTGTTTAGAGGCCACTGGAGACCTGCTTCGGTAGGAAGAAATCAAATCTGCATTTTTCCGTGATTAAAATGAAATGCCACTTGTATATAGGTATTGGTTGAATACTATGTCTTATTGATGCATTTACAATTTTAATGCAGTTTGGAAGCCTAACAGTGCCTTAATTATTACAAACAAAATAAATACTAAATACCTATATTTTGGCACTTAATATTGACTCTTTTATCATGAA